AAGCCGCTGCAAGGGATGCATGTAGGCAAAGTGCTCTGAGAGGGCACCTCACGGTTTTGCCCTTTTTCTCAAGGTACCTAGGTAAGCGTCGGTCGTATACATGAGGAGTCAGTTTTCACTGTCATCCAGTCCGCGAACAGAAGATGTGCGAACGCTGAGAATACAGTCTATCGACGAGGAAAGGCTGCAGATACATCAGGCTGCCAAGCAGCGGGGTTCAGGCTGCCGCTGAGACATAACGTGGGTGGCTTACACAAGGCTGATGGGACCTGCCCATGGACCATGTCATTCCGGTTCTGGGGCTCATGTAATACTGGAATTTGGGCTCTAGTAATGCATTGACACAAAAATACTGGTGACTTCTAATACAGCATGTAAACGAGAGAAGCTCTTGCCCGCTCGGACTTGTGATGTGTTCTGAAGATGCGAACCATCGCAGGTCATCACAACGCCACCGTCTCGATCTCCCCCATCACACTGGCTTTGCGAAACGCTGAGCAAGCGTGACCGCAGCTGCCCTGAGGGCCCGTCAACACGCCTCATATACCGGCCCAAGTTTTCGCATGCCGCAATGTGAGCAATGCAAAACCTCAGACGCCGCACTAGTCATTTGAGACGACCCGACTCTTCTATTCCGGGTCGCTGGCTCCGCGTGCTGCTGCATCAAGGATCAGTGCTCCGTTCAGATCACGTTGGCCATCACTTTCTCCACCAGGCTTCACACAACATACCTCTGTGATTGGCTTTGCAAAACTTTCTATATTCGAGAAAGAGATTTGCCGATGCGATGGTAATGGAGACCGCGCCGTAAGCAACGCCAAAGATGGTGTTCGCATTGACGCCGCTATCGGAGGTCGCGTGAGGGCAGCTCATAGTAGGGAAAGCTCAGAATACAGGGTGAAGATCAGATCGAACAAGCTCGAATTACCTTGACGACCAAATGTTTGATTTTACGACTACGATTTCGAGCGTGGGATATATAAGACTTCTCTCAACCAGCTGGGCAGTCAGGGTCAATGATGGCTGTGCCTATGAGTGCATGCGCGGAACGTTGTAACTGTTGAGTTTCTCGGTCCAATCGCTCGAATCCCGACGCATCCTGCCCTCGTGCTACGCACTTGCGCTCGCGCAACAATGCTTTCGCCCTCAAGGATCTGGACATCGTCATCACAAAATGGGGTCCTGCGCTGATCAGAACGTCTTCAGGGGCACTGACCGGTGGTAGATGTGTCCTTGGCACTTCCAAGTGTCCCCCGGGGCGTCTTCAACAGCGGAGATTAGCACCCGCTCGCGTTCGGGGTTGGGTCATCATCAAATTCGTTTTAGCGTGAGTTCGGTAAGGAATGTCGCGATCCCGCAGGTTCGTTTTCGTGCGCCTTACCATCTTGGGCCTATCATCCCGTCCAAATACAACCCCAGCAACCCACGAACTGGGGATCTAGGCGCCCCGCCCTTTTGTTTTCGTGCCCCGTCGCGCTAAACCTGTCAGGAGGCTCTCAGTGACAGTCGCTGACAACAGCTTCTGCCGCAACTTCTGTCTCACAGGATTCGAGATGGAAGCTCAATAGATGCCTTCCATTGGTGCCGGGCAGTCGGTGGATGAGCTAGGGAAATGAGTGCGCTGACCAATGGACATAACGGCGAGATCACCAGCTTCAAGATTCATCAAAGGATTTTACAAACAATACAACGAGCCGTGCACTTTGTGGGCTTTCACAAAGTTCAATCTCGGGCTAGGAAGAATGCTGCACCAGTCTGGATAACTGTTGTATGCTCTGTTGTCAGCATCGATACACTTCCTGATTTGACGGAGGTTGGAGTGCATCAGCCACTCAAGAAGGCCGCAGCAGACAACTTTCTGCACAGGGCCACATGCTTCTCGACAAAGATCCAGCGGAGTTATAAACTTTGAGTGACAGCGGGAATTCCACTGTGCCTGTAGCCGCGGCGAACTGTTAGGGATGCAGCAGTTGTCACATAACGCCTATCACACAACGCCTATCACACCGTCCCTGTCTGGGTTTAACCCCCGACTAGCTCGCCTATGAAGCCGGACTGCACTGTGTCATCCTATCGGAACTGCTGGGCAGCCTGCATACTGGTGATGCATGAAACCACAATCGAAGGTACCGATGGTAATGCTTGCCGTGTGAAAATCACCGAAGCTTGCCATCTGGGCCATGCACGTATGCACAAACCCCTACAGAGCGGGCGTCAAGTGGGAACTTCCAAACTTGAGGCTTTCCGCTGACGTCCAGCCCGACAATGAAACCAGACTGGCTAACCACTTCTGCAGTCTCTCTCTTGCTGACCGATAACGGCCGGCCCCGCACCAAGGAAGCTCGGGCTACATGTCAATTTGCAAGACCTCGTAGCCGTAACTTCGCCCTTACGCTTTATTGGAAAGATCGACCATTGTCAAGTGTCGGATCATTCATGCACCTGCGGCTAGGGAAAGGGTAATGGCCTCTTCAGCACCCAGGACAATTGTGCTGTGCGCAAAGGCAGCAGGCGGACATCCCAAGCTCGTGGCTTCGACGAATGTCGCCTTTCCTACCTAGGTATCATGCGCTTTCTACATCCCTGAAAATGTCGGGAGTGCAGGGTAGCGCTCTCTTTATCAATATGCTTGCTTGAGCGATAGATCCTGGGCATCTCATATGCGATGCAATAATCCTATAGAGCTGCAATGTTGCAGTATAGCGTAGTTGGACACTGCCTAGGTAAAGGATCTGGAATGTGATCGGCGTGAAGCTGATCACCAAGCCACCGCCCAGCTAGGAGCCGCTACCCGTGGGCACCCATGATAGCTGGTTGAGATATATTGAGGTCAATCCTTGCAGTCGATACGCGATAGTAAAAGGATGCTTACGCCATCACACAGTGAAGCTAGAATCCATGTCCTTGGCCGCTGTCTATACTGCTTTGAGCGCAGGGCGATGGGAGAAGTGCTGGTCGTAGCTGGTGTGATCAGCTAGGACTTACGGCAATCCATACTCATGTTAATGCGGACCTCATGTCTCTCGGTGGAGCTTTCAGGTTGACGGGAATGGCGCTGGTTGTTGCCGCTACTCTGAGCGAACTACATCAAATGCGAACCTCAGGCAATACCCCTGTCACCTCGAACAGCGTCCAGCAGTGAGTACGACGCACGCGACCTGCCCGCGGCTCGCATGCCCTGACCGTGTACTAGATTGCAAATTCTACAATGAATCACAACGGGAGCCGCGCACATTTTGTCTGCCCGCCTTTAGTGAACATGAAGGCGTGGATGTACGATCGCTGGTCTTGAGTATCCAGCTATGCCTTCTGCTCTCTCCGAAGAGTGTCTGGGTTCTTCCAGATCCTCAGGGTGCAGCAGCGGGAACAACGTCCGTTCGCTTGCGACGTATGATGACATGATCTAGGGCCCGATTGAACTTCATGGCTTGCGTGCCCCACAATAACAGCCGTTGCGGGTAAAAGTGACGACGATCACTTGTGGGGACTCTCCTGAAACTCCGATGCCAGCCCTGCCAAAATAGCATCAAGTCACTGAAGGCATCAATTTCCCAGCGTTCGGTTTGTTGTTCCCAACTTCTAAACAATGCAGTTTCAAAGCCAATCAACGAAGTGGAGGATTATTTCGCAATTCGTTTCATGAAGGTGGCTATGTGGCTTGCACGATCTCAATAGGGGGCAGTATCCGACCCTTGGAGTACCTGTATAAATCTATCGTGCGGCCTCAATGTATTCCTATCCCACGCCGCAAAGATCTTGCCATCATCATCAACTTTCGGCTCTAGGTCATTGTGCCATTCGTCTCCTCTTGTCCCTTCAACATCCTCGCACTCTTTATTCAGTGTCCACATCCTTCCACTATTACACTGCTTCGTACATACTACTGCCTTCCCTCTTCGGGAACGACCCATACATTTCTTGCAGCATGTCTTCTCGACCAAGTACACGCAGACGGCAACCTACCATGTTGCTCGTCGTGGGCTGCGCCTTTGCTCAAGACTGTCGTTGCTCCCGAATGGGGTACCAGAAGAAGGGTTTCATGATGAACCATCTCGAGAGGTATCATCGAGACGCCTTAGGTTTAACAGCAGGCGAGCACCACTGCCCCGCCTGCCTTAACAGACCATTTGATGGAACGAGGCCCTTGATCGACCACATCATGGAGGCCCATGTGAACGAGTACACATTGCCCCTGGTATCACCCGCTATCGGTGCTCGCTCTCGTTCAGCTGCTTCGAGCCCCTCGATGCGCGAAGCAACCATTCACCGTCCGTCATACTCAAGTTATATGCCCAACAGCCGTGGTATCGGCCTACACGACCCGACGATAGCCGCGCAGCGAAGGCCTGCCGATATTGTCAACGAGGGACGGAGTTGTATTGACGGGCCGCCAAGGTCGTGGATAGAGGGTTCTTCAACTTCGACACACCCATACTCCAACGCTTCGAGAACCTTCCCAAATGTGCCTCCGGCTGATCCACCCGAATACACCTATCCAGTAGCACAACGACTGTTACCTCCAGTACCCTCGGATCGCGATCCCGATATCGACTCCTACGGCTATCCAGCGCGTCACAACGAATACGACCAGCCCGGACGACTCCGACAAAGTCGATGGAGAGGAAGGTAGCGCTTAGCGGTCTTTACCGGAGAGAGTTGAGCTCATGTGACAAGCGATCTCACCCAGCGACTCACGCCTATGGGAACGCAACGTATTTCTTCATCGTTCAATTTCTGCCGAACTATACATGGGACTGTGCGGTGGTGCCGTGCTTTCGTGGAACAATGAAGTCGCCTCTGTTGCCTTTTACTTTCAAGTTTTCACCCTTTATATCCTTCACTTCGGATATTGCTCTTAGGCTCTCGGCCAATCTTCTGCTGCAGTACTTTCTTTGGTTCGTACAAGTCCTCTGTGACACCAAAAATATCAGAAAACGGATGCGATAAAACCCACTCATTGTGTCTTACTCCTTCACCGTGACTGAACTCACAGCCCACTATTACTGCGCCTTCTTCGCCTTCGCTTGCCCACCCCTGAACCCCATGCCGTAAACATACACCAGACTGCCGCCTAGGTACGCCGCGAACATAGTCGCCGGCAGCGCGATGACACTGCTGATCAGGATATTCGTATCGCTCGGCATCATACCCGGGTTCCCCCTCCGTGTCCACCAGTTGTACGCTGCCCCTAAAACTGTTACATCATTGATAACAGCGTGTAGCGCGCCCACCTGCGCCTTCCTCGACTTCAAGCCGTCGCGCTTGACTAACGGGATGAATTCGTACATGCCGGTCGCGACCGCCGGGGCGGAAAAGAGGAGCGTGAGGAGCGTGGTATAGTACGAGAGAAGGGGGAAGACGGACGGGTCTATGGCGATGTCGAAGGTCTTGACTGGGGGTTTGTTAGATGTGTCTGGCTGGAATGGGGAGAGTGGAGGTGAAGGACTTACAGGTCGAGGCCACGGCGCCGGCGGTCGGCGCATACTTAGAGAGGAAGTAGACGGCATCCAGAGCACCTGTGAGGAAGGTGGTGGTGATGGGGAAGTGCACTGTGGCTGGGTGTGTTGGGTGGCTCATCTTGATGTTTGGTGATGATTGTTATTGCGAGTGATTTTACTGGGCAATGGGCGGATGGAAGAAGGTATATTTCACGTCCCGAGACTGTAGGCAGTGTGCGCCGCAACTGCAGCGGAGAGCCGGACGCCTCGTGCCCCGTGCAAACGCGCAAACATCTTCGGCTTACGCTGTGTCGTCATGGATTCCGGACACAGAGAGGCGTGCCGCGAGGGGGTGGAACACACACGCGACTGGCTCGCGTGGGGCGGGCGGATCTCGGGAGGCCCGTCAGCTTCTTCCCCGGGGCTGTGATTGGTCAGCTATGGCAGTTTGGGTACTCGGACTCGGACTCCCGACCAACAACACGCTCTTTCAATCTGGACGCTGCATTTCCTTACCGTAGGAAGTCTTCCCTCAATTCGTGCGCTCTCAAACAGCCCTGTTCGGTGCTCTGTCTTGGTGAGAACGGTGCGGAAGTGTCGGAAGCGGAGTACAAGCGTTCCTTCACCGCATTCCTCACGTGCATCAATCCATCTGAACAGGTTGCTTCTCCACTCGTTATTCTCACCCGTCGCATTCCTATCAGAACACTTGAGTATCAAGGGCTATATTCCCCTCAATTGCATCGTTAGGTCTCGTTTGGCTTCCATGCCGTTGAAGCGAGACCAGCATGACGATTGTTCTGCGACGCGACTGACCATCAGCAAGTGAGTGCACACAATGTAGTGCGAGAAGATGTATTCTCACCAAGTTCCTAAACCCCTAAACCTATCTCGGTCGCAGTACCAACAAGACCAAACACCAAGCTCACAAGGCTACAACATTTGTTGCTGCTGCCTACCGCGCGACGGAAACCAGTTGCATATATGCACATGTGTCCTTTACTACCTGCCCATCATAAATGCGCCGCCTGCAATGACTTTGCTATCGTGATCTATCCAACACCAACTCCAGGGTTGACACGACATAATGACGATGGAAGCTCCATCCCGACAGCTACAGTCGCGCCTTCTGAGCCTTCCCCGGGAACTCCGCGATGAGATTTACACCTACTACCTACAAGAGCCTGGAGGTTATGTCCACTCCCCCATCACCAACAAGCTTCGGTGTTCGAATGGACAGATCATCGATTTCAGCTTGATGCGCACGTGCAAGTTGGTTGCGAACGAGATGCGAGATCTGCCGCTCAGGGTGAATGAAGTGGTCTTTAGGCCCTTTCAAGAGATCGAGATCCCGCAGGAGGGGTTTGACATCTGGACCACGTGGCCGCAGGCCGGAAAGTACGACTTCTTGTTAGGGCGGCTTCATCTTCTGCAGGAAGAGATGTTCGCGTTGGCGGCGACTACACAACGTAAGTCAAGTCGTCTTTCCCTGAAACTGTACACAAACCAAATGATACTCATCGCCTTGTCCTAGCTTCCGAACAAGTGATGAGAGAGATATCCGAGCGCAATCCCGACAGCTGCATCAGCGACATCCTCGAACGCATCACGAAACATGAGAACAAAGACTTTGTGCCACTCGCGGCCGTGATAGGTGACCCGCAATCACTGATGTATCATGATCGCCAGATCCTGCAAGCCAGTCTCCTACGGCTTACCTCCCACGCCAACTTTACGGAACGGCTAAGATCATGGAGTTGGTTCATCGACATTCTCGGCTTCTTAACCTCACGACCACGGTATACACGCGGTAGCGAACTTATCACGAGAGAAAGGAGATGGACTGTCTTCTACCGGGTTGATAAGTATCCGTCCACCGAGAGCGTCAATGACGGACGCTCTGCTGACCAACTGAGCTATATGGAGCTTGAGGACATGCGATTGATAGTCTCTAATACCCAATGGCGACCTTGGATCGTTCCCACCGAACAAGAAATGACTAAGTTGCGCGATCTGTTCGAATCGCGATGCCCAACTCACTGGTCCAGCTTCCAAGACCGTTTACCCGGTTTGAGATACTACCAGTCTGCCACATCACAAGCTATCCGTTTTCTGGATGGACTCCCACCCCAATATCGAAAGCAGGTACGCAACATCAAGATACTGGAAGAGGAAAAGTGTGTAGCCTTACCACAATGCCATTTGCGAGGACTGTTAGATATCTCTGATGAGGTACCCGCATTGTCTGTGAATAGACATGTCGATCTCTGGCAATGCGTGTAAGTAGTGTATGTCACATTGTTCGCCGAAATGTCCGCTGATAACCGGTGAGTTTCCCAAATGACTACAACAACCTCGCGAAGATGAGCGAATCTCCCTATATGAAGCGATGGTGGACGAATTGCGACGTATCAGATGCCGTGCTTCGCACAGTCACTTGGATCAACGAAGCGACTAGCTTATCTTTGGGTGGAAACGCCCGCCCACCCTTCAGAACCCATTTTGTCGGACCCTTCGACACCGTCCAGCTCGTCTGGAACAAAGTAAAGGATGTCGCAGCATTATACACTGCAGCTACGGCTTGTACGCAGGCTCAACGTTCACCATTTCCGACACGAGATGATCTTGCACTGGTTTTCGCAAACTATGGTGATGCTGCTTACAGCGACCCGGAACTACTGCCAGCATCAGTGCGACATATCCTCTCGGGCAACTCTCTCGTGCAGTTTCCGTGCATCATAGGTACCCTGGATGAGTTCGACGAAGAATGCCAGTACGTCTCCACGTTGCTACAAGATAGAAACAAAGAGGATTGGGAAGCGTACCGGAACAGCATACTGGAAGGAATCATTGAGGAAGAAGGAGTGGACTTCAAGACCGTACAGTCTCGGTACGCAGACCATCGACCCCGCGCCATGTGAACGTCATCTTGTAGCGGTTTGGTTTCGTACAGTTCGTAGACGAGTCATTACAGTAGCTTGAATCTCACACATGATCAATGAATGAGAGAAATAAGTTGCAAAGTAGTGTTGCGCATTGCCGATAATAGAAGGCCATGTACAAATGTTTAAGTCACACACCCTCTGATGTGACCTCAGTACGAAAAGTACCGCGCATCGGGCACCGGCGCGCGATCCAACTTGAAGTACCCAGGCTGCAGCTTCTGAAACACCTCCTTCGTATCATACTTGCTCGCAATAGTCTTCATCTTACTCTTGCTGTCCGAGCCATAACTTGCAATGACGTCCTGGAACATCGCTGCGTAGTTCATATACACCCAGTCATTCTGCACACCCAGCTTCACCGCGTCGCTCTTGATCGCCTTCATGATATCCGACATGACCTGGTATACGGTATCATCGTCTGTAGCGTTGTTCCAAGAGCATGCTAGCTGAATGATGTGAATAGGGCTGCCGTTGGCATCGAAACCCATCGCGCTGCCGCCGTTGCGGGTACTGCCTTTCAGGGATCCGTCGGTGATGTGCTGCCAAATGAGAACGGGATATGCGCCTTCGACGGCGGAAAGAGCGCCGATCGAGTCGTAGAAGATATCCACAGAGCGTTGGGCAATCTCGTAGGAGGCTTTGACTGAGATAACGTAATAGACCTCACGAAGCCCATACTTGTTGGTAGCTTCGTTTTCGATCACGTAGGAAGCATGGCCTCGCGTTTTCGTGCTGTCAGCTACGGCTGTGATGTTGTAAAAAGGTGCGAGGATAGCGGACTCGTTACCAGCCGGTGCACCATACCAGAGCTCGGTTGAGGCAAGCTTTGCGCCTTTGTCCAACCAGGCAACCCAGCTACCAGCCTTGGGGTCTTGGGCTGAGTTGAACGTGAGGTCCATCCACGCCTTGATTACATCCGGGAATTTGTCTTCTGTGAACGTGCGGGTTCCTCCCCAGATCTGGTCGTTGTCGAGGGGTTTTGTTGTCAGGTTGAAGCTGGTTACGATGCCGAAGTTGTTGCCGCCACCGCGAAGAGCCCAGTAGAGGTCTGGGAAGGTCGTTGGGCTTGCTGTAACCATGACGCCGCTTGCTGTGACAACCTGGTCAATTTTAGAGGAGCACGATATCGTAGGATTGTGCATCAAACTTACTTCATAGCTAGCGACGTTGTCACAAGCTAGACCGTACTCATTCGTGAGGAACGATATGCCACCACCGAGGGTGAGTCCGCCGACACCGATATCACCAATCCTTCCAGATACGACTGTGACACCAGTGGTCGACAAAGTGGTAAGAACATTACCCCATACATTCCCTGGTTGGACTGCGACGGTCTTTTTGTCATCTGAAAGCTGGATGCCCTTCATGTTCTCGAAAGATACAGTGATACCGCCCTCGATAGTGGCTGCGCCGGCAAACGCACTGTGACCACCTGACTTGACGGCAAACGGACATTTTGATAGCCGAGACAGAAGTACCACCACCGAAACAGCAGCCGGGCTCGAGGGCTTGAAGATACAGTATGGCCTGACCTCAGCCGAGATTCCAGACCAGAAGCTGGATGTGAACGCGGAGTAGCCGGCCTCATCCTGGAACTCGACAGATTTGTTCCCGTAGACGACCTCCAGCGAAGAACACTGTTTGTGGTTTAGCCTTAGCTCTGAGCTACTTGCTTGAAGATACTCACGGCGATGTTGCATGCCAGGTTGGATGACCGATCTGCAAGGCCGGCTAACTCTGGCAGTGCGGAGATATTGATGCCTTGATCAAGGAGAGCCTCGGTGACGCTGAAATCGACAGGCTCGAAGAACTGAGACGCCACGGACGAGAGCAATGTCCCAAAGAAGAACAGCAGCCGCATAGTCATGGGGTTGGGGATCAGAAGAGAGTACAGAATCCTCAACAAAGGAAGCGCGAAGGCCAACTTTATAGACGCACAGCTGCTTGAAACTATCCTTCTCAGTTGCAACGGCCCATGTGAAGAGCGTCGAACCGCGCAAACGAACCTGAGCTGATGCATGCCCAAAAGCCAGCGCAGGGGTCGGGTCGGTTGTAGCCTAGCCCTCTGCACGCGTGCCGTACCGCATGCCTAGTGGTGAGATTCTTCCCGTCGAGCCGCGGAGAAGAGATTGAGTCTGGTTGTTTGCCATGGATCTGCGAGATGATATCTAGGAGGTGGAAGGTATGCCAGGTGGCTCCTCGGTGTCGGACGCGTATGACCAGCGACGAGCATGTCGAGCAATACTCTTCCGTCTTTCGTCGAGGAGTATTGAGTATGGTTTAGCGTACGTAGATACAGCTACGCCGCAACACTGCAGTTGATTGAGATTACATCGATCCTTTGGCAGGGTCGGGTGCAGGCGGCATCAACGGCTTCCCCGCCACTAAGCTCATTTCGTACATAGCGCCGCAAAGTTCGCGCCCGTCCTTCTTTCTACCCGTGGACCGGCCACTCCATCCCGCACCTTGATGTAGTGTTACTCAAGTACTGCGCATCCAAATAGATGGCGATGTCTTCGCTGCAGTCACGAATCAGTTAAAAGCGCTTCGGAAATGATTCCCGTTTGGATACAGTTCACATGCGATGGCGCAATACTCAGGTAATGAAGATGGCAGCGATGGAACAGTTTATAATAATTATATACAAGGAAATAGGGTGTGTCAACACTATGAGAACAGAAGGGTACAGCTTTGCAAAAGTAAGACCAAATTTGCGAAGCTGGAGAAGAATACACTCTCACGGAGAGAGCATCTACTTGTAAAGGAAAGTAACCATGGAACGTGCGGGCACACTGTTTCCAGTCATCGCATCAAGCCCGTGGCTCTCGTTCGTGATGAACGCAGACGCTTTGCCCGAAACACCAGTGATGCTGACAGTCGCTGTCGAGGCGCCAGTGTTTAAGACCTGCACAGCGACCGAGCCATCAGTGTTCTTGAAGGCCGATGTCTTGAGCGTGCTGGTCCTGCCACCAGCGCTGACGCGAACGGCGCCAGGCTTGACGAAGCGGCTCCACTGTGCCATAGCCCAGAAGCGCTTGGAAGGTGCAACGACTCCACCGTGGATGTCAATAAGAACGGAGTTGGTAGGGTTGGTTCCAGCATCTTCGGCGCCCTCCCAGTAGAGGTATGCGGAAAAGTTTGCGTCGACGAGAGCAGTGTAGATCTTGTTCGCCCAGGTCTGACCTTCGCCAGCTCCGCCGTTGGTGTAGTAGCTGGCTGTCCACTTGCCGCTGAGATCGGCAGTCTCAGTCATCCACATATGCTTGGAAGTAGCGAAGGGGGCTGTGGGGTCGGAGCTGTAACCGTGGGTGGTAACGACATCGTATAGGGAATCGACTGCAGCGAGTCCTGGAAGCATGGCCTTCTGCGCGTTGTAGCCGGTGGCATCGCAGCAAGTGAGCTTTACCTTCAGACCGGAGGCCTTGACGGTTGGCGCGAGAACCTTGATGAAGTCTGCGGCCTGCTGTCCGGTCGATCGCATGGAAGAGTAGGCGGTGCTATGATTCGTCAGTAACAGATCATCTACACGAAGATATGTGAAAGACTTACGTGTAGTCGGGCTCGTTCAAGAAGCCGAGATGGGTCACGTCAATACCCTCCTGCTTGTAGTACTTGACGTATTGCGTGAGGTAGTTGGCGTAAGCTTGAGTCCAGTTTCCGCAGGACGTGCCATCGACACCGCAAAGGCTTCCTCCCTGGAGCAGATTAGTTATTGCTTCCAATCCCCGTTTGGGTGGTTGTACTTACGTTTGAGTCTTTACCGTTCGTCTTCATGAACCCAGGAGCAGACCAAGCATCGGCATAGATGGTCTTGAGGCCGCGGGCCTGCGCTTGCTTCGTCAACCAAACCTGGCTGTTGTCGGAGCCATCCCACTGGTACTTTGGTGTGCCGGTGGGCGATCCGGGGCTGTTGGGCTCAATAGAGAAGCCGCTGGATGGGCCAGAGCCAATGCCGTTGCGCAGGATGTTGAAGCCAGCGCCGGTAGTAGGATCGAAGAGCAGGTCAAGGGTCTGCTTCTGGGCAGAAGCTGCCAGAGACTTGATGTTTCCAGCGCGACCGTAGAACTCGGAGATACCAAAACCGTCAATCGTTTGGAATGTCTTACTGGAGTCCACGGCAATGGTTACTGCCTGACGGGGGTCGAGACTTGGTGCAGAGAAAGCAACGTTGGAAGAAGCAAGGAAAAAGGCCAGCTTAGACAGCATCTTGTCGCTGTCGTCTTGGCGAGAATGTATACGACGGGTAAAGCGTGGGGTGTGAAATGAAGTCAATCAAGAAAACTAGACGAACAGACCAGTGCTTAAAGAATGGAAGCCAAGGATTGATAGTGACGCCTTACAAGCGACGGGTGGGAGATGTATATACTACCTCTTGCAGTCTTCCATGAACCTCGCATTCGCAACTTGCTCGCATTCGTATCATGCATCGCAAGAGAACAATCTAGAGTAGGCCCGAGATGGCACGGCCTGCCAAATGATGTCTTATTTTCGGCCTCCATTGGGACACGAGGTTTTCCCGTCGAGGCGTCGCGATTGCATGTACTGAGGGCGCATGGGTCGAAGACGCCTAGGTAGATGTGAAGAAATGACAAGTGTTGCTAGTCGCGATGTCTAATCGTTCTAGGGCATGGTGGCGTAGCACTTGTGTTGTAGATAGATGAGGCTTGATGATCCTTTGCGAAGCTTAGCAAGGCTTGGCCTTCTTAGCCGGTGGTGCAAGGTGAATGCAAGGAACGTGCGGGGAGAACTACGTGTCCCATGCGCGAGCACCGCATGAATCCACCAATATGAGGCAGCGTTCTATATGAGTTATCCCGCTCATTATTACTGTTTCGGAAAATGTGTTTTGTTTTATAGGTCTAGCATAGACGAAGAGCCTTGAGTAGAATTTCGCCGTGTGTCACGTAGTTTGATTAGAAATAATTGCTTCTAAGATCCTAAAGGCTGCACAATCTTACGCACACCTTAGCATTACA